ATACCAACACTCTCATGAGGGCTATGCGCTGTGCTGTCTCTGAGATCACCAACACTCTCCTGAGGGCTCTGTGCTGTCTCTGAGATTACCAACACTCTCCTGAGGGCTCTGTGCTTTCTGTGAGATTACCAGCACTCTCCTGATGGCTCTGCGCTGTGCTGTCTCCAGGATTACCAACACTCTCCTGAGAGTAGTGCACTCTGTCGTCTCTGAGATTACCAACACTCTCCTGAGGGCTGTGCACTGTGTTGTCTCTCAGATCCCCAGCAGTTTCCAGAGGGCTCTGTTCTGTGTCTGAGATCACCACAAGTCTTCTGAGTGCTTTGTGCTGTGCTGTCTCCGAGATCCCCAGCACTTTCTTGAGGGCTCTTCCCTTTCTCTGAGATACTGTGCACTTTCCTGAGGATCCTGCCCTATTTCCAAGATTGCCAGCTCGGTCCTGAGGGCTCTGTGCTGTACTGAGCGCTTCTTGCCATGATCAAGACTGAGATTTTGATCATGCAAAGTACTTTACTGGCTTCCAGGTCCTCTAGAATGACTGCACTCAACGTTAGCTGATTTGGAGCAGGATCACGTACTGCCAATATTTCAAGGGGCAGCTGAAGATGAGGTTGTGAGCCCATGATGTTTGAGGGAAGAGAGGACTGAAATGCATGCTGTGTTTCTGTGGTGGTTGTAGTTTTTGTGTTGAAACCCTGTACCCCCCTCCCCTCCCCATGCACTAACACACTCACGTACACACTCTGTGCTACCCATGTGTCCAGAGAAGAGAAGAGTAACACATCCCTGCCTGTCTGTGTTGACAGGTGATTGATGAGTCTCTGGATGTTAAAGAGGTCATTTACAATGCAGAGAGAGTCAACGGTATGGAGGATGAGATGGTGAGTACAGCGCCACTCAGTGAGCGACCTGGGGAACTACAAGCTAAGCAAACAGCCTGTGCCAATATAGGACAGGCAAACAAGACCCCCTCTCTGCTGTATTCACTGCATTCCCAGAACAGCAGCCGATGCTGCCCCCACCCTTCTAGAGTTTTCTTGTGGGCAGTATGTGTAGATATTATATGCAAACAGCACTGTAAACACAAGAGAACTTTTACACCCTAGAAGCCTTTAAAATGCATCAAATGGATATGGGACCATTGTTGCAAACTGTTAGATTTTTAACGATTGTTGTCACTCACAAGTATTTTGGATTTTATGTCTTTATGCATATAATGCCAGGTCGTTTCCTATTCACTCATGTTGACCCATCTTCTGAGTCATAGAGCTGACCATCAGAGAAATTGAGACAGAGGTCATTGTGTCTGTGTGTTCACAGTGTCTGACCGTCTGTCAGATACATTGCTGTCAGATACATATACAGTCTGTATAGAGGTGTTTCTATCCTCTACACTAGAGAAGACTACCCCGATCCCTGTCTAAAGTCCCTCACATACTACTACTACAATTATCATTAATAATTATTATTATATTGTTTATTTTATTGCAGCTTTTGGTCCAGGGACCTTGGCTGTGTTCAGCAGTTAACTACTCTGCTGAGTACACTACACACTGGCGCCCTCTAATTGTAGAACATTACCAGCTGTGAAAAGATAACAAATTAAAGTTTTATTTAAAAAATTAACATACTTATACTGCTCTACATGATACCGGTAGGCCACGCATGTATTCACTTGAATGGTCATTTAGTTATTTCTGCTTTGATTTGTTCTTTTTTGTAATTTTGCTCCTTCATTTTCATGTCTTCAATCACTGTTTTGTGTTGTTTCTCTTTTCATGACCAGAACCTGAAACTTTTAAGCCTCAAACTGAACCACTCGCTTTGCCCCCACAATTACTCAGATCTCTGTGCAGCAGGCAGACCCTGTGTTTCTACCTGCCCTGCCTGGGTCAGTGAGCCAGCCAGGAGAGCAATACTGAACCCACTGTGTGCCAGGACACAGCCCCCCTATGTAAATTCACACCTGGCACAGTGTAGGTCCTAAAGCCGTGGGCCACCCCATCTTCAGCTTTAAGTCAGTCAGAGAGATCTGTAGATCTTTCCTTGAAACACTACCACCCCTCTGGGGATTTACTTTAGTTATTTAAAGCTTGTTGTAAATATATAAGGAAAACAACCATGCAAGCCAGAGGTTAACAAAGCTCTACCACTACTGTTATTCCTGCTTATGACAGGGTAGAAAGCACAGCACGAACACCTTGTTTATCCCTACCCCTGTCCTTGTGTGCACGTATTGTGTGCTTGTTTGTGTTGTGCGCACTCTTGCTCTTTCTCTGTCTCTTTTCTCACTCCTTCCTTCCCTCTCTCTAACAGGAATCCTACCAGCCCCTGGGAGAGGAGTTCAGTTTTGGCAGCAGCGCTCTGATTGGCCTGCTGGTGATTGCTGTGGCGATCGCCACAGTGATTGTGATCAGCCTGGTGATGCTGCGGAAGAGGCAGTATGGCACCATCAGCCACGGCATCGTGGAGGTGAGAGGGGCATGACCCAGGGGCGTGTGTGATGCACAAGAGATCTCCTCCAATCCCCACGGCTCCTCCGGTACGGGGCTGTGGGGGAGGGACGCCTCTCCCTCAATCAGCACGGCTCCTCCGGTACGGGGCTGTGGGGGAGGGACGCCTCTCCCCCAATCAGCACGGCTCCTCCGATTCGGATCAGAGTTGGAAGAGTTTTGTAAAAACACACACCTGGCCAGTTCAGTTGGGTTTATAATGATAATAGGTGACGATTCTTGGGTTCTTTAAAAATAAATGTATATTTTAGTCCCTTTTGATCTGTTTGAGTGTCATATTGCTGTCAGACCAGGAACTGGTAGAAACAGATTTTACTTCTACGGTACCTCACCATCCAGGTGTTTCTCACACATTTATTACAAAAGGTAACCATCATGCAGGAAAGCCTGGGTGTGGAGAGTACAGGAGCTTCGCTGTTTAACAAGCGAAGGCCATACAAACTGAATCCAGTCAGAAACAAAACAAGAGCAGCCTACTTCTTTATTCAGACCATCAAATGGTGATGTTTGTAATACCAGAGCATCAAGAATCACACACTGCAACACTTCCTCGGTGTTAGGTCCATCCTCATGTTTTTCATTCCATTACTACCATTAGACATGCTTTCTTTCTTGCAAATAAGAGTGTCTTAAGCTGTTTAAGTCAACAAAGAATGTCTTGTCTCAGCAATGTTTTAAGCAAGTACTAATCATTCTTACAAGTTCTAGATTTAACAGCCAAGGGCAATCGAACATGCTAAACATGTTTCATAAGGTTGTGAATGTCAACTTCACTCACTGTGGAGAATAAATGTTTCAGTTGTAATGTTACAACTTACAAGCACCCGTCATATTTTGAATTTTACACTGTTATCTTGCTAAGCAAAATTAACCTCCAATACCTTGTGAAAAAAAAAGATTTAATCGTTTAACGGTTGACAAAAACCCACGTGTTGTTAAATTGTTCTGTTACACTGTTCAGGGTTACTTCTAGTTCTTTGGTTCCAGTAAAACGACAAAACAACAGTTTTCATTACTTTATTTCGTACACAACTCAATATGCTTCACTAATCATGAAATCAAGCTACGAGAGAGTCTGCATATGTAAACATGCCAAATAGCGGTAGTTTCCCCAATGGCGGCCCCAGTGCCGTTATGAAAGGTTTTGAACTCACGCGTCTCCTCTGCTCTCCGACAGGTGGACCCCATGCTGACCCCGGAGGAGCGTCACCTGAGCAAGATGCAGAACCACGGTTACGAGAATCCCACCTACAAGTACCTGGAGCAGATGCAGATCTAGCCGGGCCGGCAGGGGGCGCGGTGGAGGCGAGAGAAAATACTACTGACCTGTAACGCAAAGCGCTCACCTCAAAGGCCAACCATCTGCATCGGAACACCCGGCCGGCTCATTCGAAATACTCAAATAATGCTACTACTTACTTACTACTCTTGTACTGTAGAGCTCAATTTCTTTTTTTTTTCTTTGTACGTGGATAGAACAACAATATGAGATTTAAAATAATAACGGGAACACACACGTAAATTATTTCACGCCGAGAGCTATGACTGAATATGATTTATCCTGTTCTTCGGGGGGGGGAGGGGGGGAGGTTAATTAATCATAGAGCAAAGCAAATAAAGACAACTTCCTAATGCAAGAAATTGTACATGGCTAATAAAGTCATATCTTATCTTATGAACTGATCAGGAAAGACCCTTTCGGGGGTAAGAGAATATACAAAGAGTCGAAAATTGCCACTTTATCGTTTCCCATCTCAAACCTGTTCTCAAAATGACGAAATATATATATTAAGATGTCGATTTTTTTTAATAGAGTGCTTGTATATGAAGGTTCTTTGTACCGATTTTGGTGTATGGTGAAACAAATAAGAGTACAAAAAAATCACAAAAACGACTAGAAACCGACCAAAAACCACAAAAACGACTAGAAACCGACCGTGAATATTTTTCCGCTCACCGCCACAAACGCGAACGGGAGGAAAAGGCGGTTTTCTTCGTCGATTCCGTTACCTGTTCCGTTCATTTCCAGAGACTAAACCGGCTCTGGGCGCTGGCGGTTGTCCGGCGGGTCGCTCAGCCCCGAGCGCGAAGCCCCTCGCGGCGCCGCCGCCCCCCCCTTCTCCTCCTCGCGAGCCTCTGCTTTCGCGCCTTCGTGCGCCGCCCCGTCTCGCGCTCGCTCTGGAAAGTTCTGAGGAGCCCCGCCCCGCTCCGTCTCGCGCTCGTTCTGAACGGCCCCGCCCCGTCTCGCGCCGCTACACCCGTCTCGCGCTCGCTCTGGAAGGTTCTGGAGCGTCCCGCCGGGCCGGGCGCGCGCAGGGCGGGAGACCGCTCAGGCGCGTGTATGTGTGTTTTGGGGGGACGGAGCGGGACGGGGTGTGGGGGGTCAGGGCTGCGGCTGTCGGGTCCCCGGGGGTCAGAGAGGATGGGGGGGGTTAAGAGGTGTTCCCCTGAAGAGGCTTCGGCCACGAAAGAGAAAGTGTCGGCAGGGCGGGCGCTAAGGGCTGTCCGCCGCCAGGGGGCGCTGTCCGGGACGGGGTCCCCTCGGGCTGCAGACCAGCCCCCGCTTCTCCGACTGGGGCTCCTCCCGTCCGCACACGCGGCTGCTGAGTTCGGGCCGCACGCGTCAGGTCGCTCAGACCCCCGCCTCTTGCGCCTGGAGCCCCCTTCCTCGCCCTGCACGACCCGCTGTGACAACACGGGGGCCACAGGTGTGCTGGGGGACGTGGGGAGCCCGGGAGTTGTGGGCTAGTTCGCTGGCGGCGCCACACAGCCCTCCGAACCTGTGCGTCCGGGGTGTGACCCTGGCGGGTCCACATGGGCCGGACCAGGGCTCAGGGCCCGGCTAGTGAGGTCTGGGCCCAGGTTTTCAGAATTTGATTATTTCATGCTACAGACATGGAGAAAGAGAGAGAGCTGAATCAGTTTCGTTTTTGTTTTCATAGTAGCGTCCTTGTGTGCCTGTATAGTTGACGTAGCTGTCATGGCTTTCTCGGAGGAAACCTGTGGCGTGCATTGTTCTCTATATACTTCTCACACTTTTTTGTTACTTTCTTTTTTTAAAAAAAAAATTAAAACTTTCTTCCTGTGACAGTATCTCCTCTGTTTGTCGCTGTCCCACTATGCACCGAAACGGCTTTGATCTTGTAACGCCTGCTTGATTGCAGGCCGAATGAATGAATATCTATAAATATAAATGTATGAGAAAAACAATGACGATGGTGATTATGATAACTGTAGGGGGAAACACATCAATAAACTCACTACTACTTCCATAGAAGCCGCCTCCCGAGTCCTCCTTCAGTGTGTGTGTGTGTGAGGGCACACGCGTGGCTCTTGGCATGACACGCAGGCTGTGTGTGTCTGTGTCTTGTCACGCGTGGGCGAGGTCCGTGAAGCCCTGCCTCGCCAGTCGCCCAGTGGGTGAGCAAGGCGCTGGGTGCTGGTTGGGTTGTGAGGGAGTGTTCGTCCGGGCACGGGGGGATATTTTGTGTGATTCGTTTTTTTTTGTCCAAGCAGGCGGCTGCGTCAGCGTGCGTGGACTGCAAAGGGACAGGTAAAGGTTCATTCCCTGCTGGAAAGAGAAGAGAGGATCGGATCGGATCGCTGTCTCCCGAGGAACGCTGTGTCCTGTACTAGTGGGGGCCTCGCAGTCAAGCAGGGTGTTTTTAGGGTCCTCCCAGGCTCCAGGGGTGCCAGTGTGGATGTGCTCCAGCTGCTCTCCTCGGCTCAGGGCTCCAGGCCGTCTGACAGGTTGGGTGTTTGTCCATCGTGCCTTCAGGGAAACACCGTAACGTTGTTTTTACACGGGGCTGGTGGTCTTGTGCCCAACCTCCCACATGGAGGACCTGGGATCACGAGTGTCAGGCTCTGCCAGCAGAGCTAGTCGGGGTCTGTCTGACAGGAGCGACGGCGCAAACTGGGGGAGCAGGGGCCCCCCTCCCAGCTCCGGGGTGCTCTACACCAATGTTTTCATAACAATAACGATGATAATAATAACAACTTATTTATAAAGCCCGTTCCAAACCCCCGGGCGCTGACAGGACGCTTTCCGGGAGTGCCCGTGTGTCTGTGGTCCCGCAGACATGCGCGCTGGAGAGGCCGGTCACACCTGCTGCTGACGCGACGCGGACAGAAACTCCAGGCTTTCTTTTTCCCCACAACAAAACTTCAAAACGCACGCTGCTGAGTCAGCGTAGTGACGGAGCGGAAAAAGAAAACCGACACAGACACACCGACAAGGCGAAGCGAGCAATGATGCGAATCCACATCTATTACCTTCAAATAGAACAAGAATATAATTAATATGCAAATCATATATACAAATATAAGTTTTATTTCTGATATCTGAATCGAAAACGACAGCGGGGACCTCAGCTGGGGCAGACAGTAATACTGTTACAGCTTTCTCCTTCATTGCTGGGGTTTATCTGGCGCAGGTGCCGGATTTCATGGGGCACCTGAAAGGGGCACTAATTCTTTACTAATAATGCCGAAGGTTTCCGAGAAAGGTCCGGGGTGCGTGGAGCGGGGCGTGGACTGATCCACGCATGCAAGCGTCTGCGCCTGGAAGAGTGGTGGGTGCGTGGAACAGGTCACCCAGCCAGCGGGTGTCGGGTTCGGCCGGAAGAGTCCAAACGCCCGTTCATAAAAGAGCTGCGGGCAGCCTGGAGAGCAGGGCCGTGAGCACCTGGTCTCTCCTTTCCCTTCCTCTCCAGCGCGGTACTGTGCCGTATTTTAACGCCGCGGACACCAGGCCACACCGGGCCAGACGTACTGTGCGGGTGAAACCGTGTCCCAGGGCCCGCCGCCTCCCCCGGACTCCCGACCCGCCCCGGCCGCGGAGGCGGTGACTCACCGTGCTGGTCTCACCGAGACCGAGCGCAGGCGCGCCGGGTGTTTCACTCGGTCAGGACTCAGGTATCGCTTTCGCAACACTCTTTCTGTTATTTTTTCAACACAAAAGGGGAAAATACCAAAACAAACAGGGGTATATGCATACAAATACACAAATGTCACAACCTGGTAAAACAGTGAAAAAAAAACAAAAAAAACTTTGTCCACGGTACAGAAGCTTTGTGGTGCTAGGGGTTACATTAAATAATTTTAATAAGTTTATTTGCCAGAAGATTTTTGTAGACCAACTCGCCAAGCTTATTTTTTTATGTATTCTTGTGAATTTGAGTATGGCTTAGGTGAGTTACAGAATTCTTTACAGCACATAGTAGTTTTTTTTTTAAGCTCCACGCGAATGTATGGAAAAAGGTGCCAACATCAGAATGACATTTGCCATTATACGAACTTCTTTGGAAGTCTGCATTCGGAACACCCAGGACAGGATTCCTGCGTGTGAGATGTACACGAGTATTACTGTGATTTCGCCAAGGTCACACCATGTGTCCCGTCGTTTCGGTATCTGATTGGCCGAGGTACGGGTGTTGCACTCATGGTGTGGCCGTTCTCTCAGCTCAGCAGCTCTCGGGAGGGACATCTGTCATTCGGTATTGTGAATGAACGTCTTTGGTTTTTGGTGTCGTGGGGAGAGTGATCCATTCCGTTCTAGCAGAGAAGAGAGTCCTCGTCTACATCATTAAAAACGATTTTCTCCTTGATGTCTGGGAAGAACCTCTCAGCGGATATTTGTGTTATTGCGCTCTTTATCTAAATGTTGTAAGGACCAATGTTGATCTGTGGAAGATTACCAAAGCCGGTAGAGCAGGTGGAATTGCATCAATCATTTCTTTAATTGCTTTGGGTGCCACTCCATGTCAAATTTCTTAACACAGTCACAAATTTACTTCTCCATTAGCTTCTAACAGATGCACGCTTGATCAAATACTTTTATTAAACCAGGAATGACAAAATACGCTCTTTCTTTTTTCGCAGGACGTGTCTGCTGTTTCGCCATACTAGGGATGACCTCAAACACTGCAGCCCCATCTCCAGCCTCGCCCGGGCCTGCTTCTGCAGCCAGGAACAGGCGGACTTGCGGGACGGACTCTCCCCCCGGCCGAGCCCCGACTCCGGAGAACAAGGAAACTTGCGCTCTCGCAGGACGCGAACTTTGTTTCAGGAACTTGATTTTGAAATCTCTTCACACCCCTTTACGAGAACAGGTGTCACAACGTCCCCGTATTCACGCAGAGACTCGGCCGAAAGCCCTGTGAGACAGCAGTCCATCGCGCCGCGGTTGGCCTTATCAGGCGGCGGAAAGCTGCAGAAAAGCCCGGCCGAAATAAAATGAGCGCCTCCGAGCAGACGGCGCTGTGAATCCAAGGAAATCACAGGCCCAGATACGCGGCGCCCAAGGTGTTTGTGCCTTGTTTGTGTTGTGCTTGGTGTTGTGCGTCATCTTATCCGTGCGACAGGAGGGTCGCTGCAACTTCAGTACCACCCCTTCCGCTTTCTCTGTGCCCCGCCGCCTCACCTGCTCGCAGGAAGCTGCAGGTTCATGATTGCTGAGAGAGGCGGAGACACCTGCAGTAACCTGAGCCCAGGGCGGAAGACTGCGCGCTCCTACACCGCACTAGGCGACGACTCTCCTCGGACCTGCAGTGTTTTTAATCCTCGGACTATCGCACCTTCGCGTCTTACTCGCTGGTTTTTCTTTTCATTTTTGTCTGTTTGAGGAGCTCGGGCGCCCCACGGTAAAGCCCCACGCACGCCACACGAGGGGAGTCCTTTCTGCTGGGGTGTCTGGTGTCTGGAAGGGGACCCCTCCCTAGGCCTGCGCCATCCCTCCCCCCCTCCCCGCCGGTCCGCGCCGCGGAGGTCGGGGGTCCCTACGGAGAGTCGGTCCCACCAGCTCTCCCGCCCGGAACCAAGGGCTCGCCGGGCCGCTCGCAGCAGGAGGGAGCGGGGAAAGAGCGAAGATCGACATTTTCTCGGAGGCAGCAAAGGAGGAAAGGAGCCAAAGGTGTTGTGATTGATCTCCGCCGAGCGGCTTTACCCGAAAGGCGATGGACCCTCTGGACTCCGGGATGCGCTACAACCCGAAGTCGGGGGTAAGATGATGAACTTCCTGTCGGTTTGCCATCGGTTGCGGTTTCTCTCGGCTTCGGAACCCGCCCGGGGTTCGTGACCCGTCCTCGCCGGCGAGCCGCGACCCCGCGCCCTGCTGCCCGCTGGTTTCTCTACGCGCAGAGTGTCCGCTCCTCTGAAGACTAGTTCCTGTTTCTGTAGCCCCGCAGTATCGGTGTCCAGACTGACGTGTGTACTGTACCGCTGTTCTGACACGGCAGGCTGCCTGCTGTCCAACAGGTCCTACACTGTGACTTGAGTTAAGCACTCGCAGTCGCACCCGGCAGGGTATTATCGCGCTGAACTGATGGTTAAGTATTAGTTTACAGTAATGCCATACTAGGGCCCACTGAGCATTGTCCTCCGACATGTAATGTACCTCCGCAGGACAAGGGGTGTGTTGTTCTCGCCCAGCGGGAGGCGGGGGTTGGTCGCAGCTCTCGCGGAGGCCAGCAGAGAGAGCGCGGCCGTGGGGCTTTCCGAGGAGAGGGTAAGGCACCCCAGGAGAGGGTCGAGCTCTCTGGGGAGAGCCCCCAAGACGGCGTTTCCTGTAGTGGAGCCCGGAAACGGAGAGGGTGGCCCAGGGGTCAGGACTGCTGGGGCCCTGGGTTCAGCTCCGGGGCTGCTGTCTGTGTGGAGTCTGCATGTTCTCCCTGTGGGTGTCCTCCCACTGCCCGGAGACATGCTGGTGGGTGTCATGGACCTTTGGGAAAACTGGCCCTGGCTTGTGTGTGTGTGCCTGCCCTGGAATGGATCCACTCAATGCTAGAGTGTATTAGTAAGGTTAAAGTCCAGTTTTGATGGCCTTTCACAGGCTGCGTTTTTCAGACAAGGCCTGTACTGTAGGGTTATCCACTCTGGGCCGTGAAGACCTGAGATGTCACTGTGTCTGAGCCGTCAAGTCCCTGTTCATGACGCCTTGTTGGCACAGCTCTCGGGCTCCTTGATTTCAGCTCAGGGTCTGCAGGGCTGTTATTCTCGTGAAGGCAGAGCGCTTTAAAGCTGTTGTTTCCCTCAGTTCGGTTCTCATTCTGTAAAATGATAAATCATTAACCTGGACCCTCCCCGGCTGTGAGAGGGTGTTTCACACCAGCCAGGGCTGGGCCCGTGACTGGGGGGGGCCGAGGGGAATCTCTCGCAGCCTCACTTGCCTGCCATAGGTGCAGCGGGTCTAGAGTTCCTGTCCCCAATGTTTGTTTTGGGGGTCACGGTCGGGTGAAAACGGGGGCAGGAGGGTAAAGGTACATGTAGGGTTTGAAAGAAGGGGTGTGAACCCCATTTCTCCGTGTGGCCTGTTTTGTCCTACCGGCTGTCCCTCCTGAAACAGTGGGCTGACGTTTTCACCCAGAGGTCCTCACTGCCCGGGGTTTTTACGTGAGCAGTCTGGACGTATCCCCTCGTGCCCGCTGACTGCA